CTGAAAAAGGTTGAAAGAAGAAAAGATAGAGGACAGAAAGAATGCGAGCAAGAATGCAAGTTTAGTGTAAGAGTCACATCATGTAAGGATGAGGCACGGCGGCCCGTAGGTATACAATTCATGCTAGGGTTCTGGGATATTACTACTTTGGATAGAGCCAGGGAAAGCTAGTCCGAGGGCTGGAGGTTTGCAGGTGGAAAAGTCGACGTCGTTACAGCGGTCAAGAGATATGAAGACGTCTAGGATAGAGAGGCTAGGAGCATCTGTGTGTTGACCTGATGAGTTAGGAATGATTGTTAGAAGAAAGCTATAAACTTTACATGAAGCGAGGACCTCAAGCAGGCAGAATGCGTGTATACATTAACTATATTGAGGACGCCGCAGCATGTCGGAGGCGCAGGTACGGCAGTCCTGTTAGGGTGCTATGGGATACTGAGCTGTACACTGCCAGTGAAAGATCTGGACTCCCACATGAGCAGGTATCACAGACGTTTCAGCGAACAACTGCGACCTACGCAGCCGTGGCCAGCGCTGGCGCCGCAAAACCACCCGGCTGGGTCCAGGCCCCTAAAAAGAAAAGTTGTAAGGCGGTAAACAATAACAAATCGAAATCACCGTCTACAGTGTCACAACTAAAGTCTTCTCCACCCCCCCCCCCCCCCCCCCCCCCCCCCCCCCCCCCCCCCCCCCCCCCCCCCCCCCCCCCCCCCCCCCCCCCCCCCCCCCCCCCCCCCCCCCCCCCCCCCCCCCCCCCCCCCCCCCCCCTCCCCCCCCCCCCCCCCCCCCCCCCCCCCCCCCCCCCCCCCCCCTCCCCCCCCCCCCCCCCCCCCCCCCCCCCCCCCCCCCCCCCCCCCCCCATCCCCACCACCCCCCCCCCCCCCGCCCCCCCCCCCCCCCCCCCCCCCCCCCCCCCCCCCCCCCCCCCCCCCCCCCACCCCCCCCCCCCCCCCCCCCCCCCGCTCCGCCCCCCCCCCCCCCCCCCACACCCCCCCCCCCCCCCCCCCCCTCCCCACGCCCCCCCCCCCCCTATACCACTACCCCCCCCCCCCCCCCCACCCCCTCCCGCCCACTGGCGGCAAAATGTGATTTGGGTTCTTCAGAATCTGGCAAACCATTATAAGACTCCCCCCCGCAAAAGCCCGATATCGACTGCTGTATATGCTTAGAGATTTTAATCTAAGCTGACAGGACAGATGAAAGAAGTCCCTGACGTTCTTGGTTGCCCTTCGTTGAGGAGTCTAGAGAGCAACGATATCCTGTTTCTGCCACGGTTGCCACGTCTGAATGACATATTCTACGTGTGGTCGCACGCATGCTTTAAGCATTTGGGGAAAGATTGTGGGGTCAAACTGACCGAAGGCTCTGCGAAGAAGACCGAAGTGTTGATTGCCGGTTCTCCTCGCCTCCTCTGCTTGTTTTGAACGCAGTAATTACATTCAGTTGCTCACTTGTTCGCGGAGCTGGGAAATTTGTTTGCAAACGCTTCACCGCCATGTGAGGCGGCATCATTAGTGCGTCGAGATGTGGAGTGGAATCAGCGAGATTACAATCCACATCTCGAGCACACTGATAATGCCGCCTCGCATGGCGGTGAAACGTTTGCAAACAAAGTTCCCAGCTCCGCGAACAAATGAGCAACTGAATTATCAACCCGAGTTACCAGTTTTCCGAAATATTGTAAACAATAATTACACACCTTTTTTAAACTTACTTGAGGATTTTGTGTAATTTTAGTTAAATGAGTGTTCTCCTAAGACTATAACATTTCACGACTGGGATTTTTAGAGGAAAGATCAGTGATATCAGCATAAAAGGTTTAACGATCGTAACAATGGATGCTAGTAAGACCACTGGAATTCATAAATATGCGTCTGATTTGCGTTGCGGATTGATGAAATTATAATGATCAAAGGCCATGGGAAATGAAAAGGTTCAAAAGGAAGACACTGTTGAATTAAGGTTGAGAATGCCTGGTCTGGACTACTGTGTTGCTTAAGTTCACGCTCCGTCTTATCAGGTTGGTGTTTTGGCTTGGCAATCTTTCATCTACTGTCTGATGACACTGAAGGTCAAACCGCTTTTCATCCCATTGAGTAATACCACAGTCACCATTGAGTAATACCACAGTCCCCATTGAACGGAGTGCTGTAAACTCTGACCAGTTACTTGGTCTAATTGGCAACTGAGCATCAGATATGCCTTAGATAAGTCGTGTTCAGAGCAAGTTAAAAGGGACGGGTAGTGTTCACGAATACCTCGTGTCGACTGAATCACCCGTACCCAAATTCAGATGTCTTCACGCAACGGTAGTGTTATCCAAGCCTCAGGCTCCAACCATATGTAACGGCATTACACGGAACTGGGTGAAACCAATCTAGTAGACTATCAGTTGGGTAAGATGACACGGAGCTCAGTGGTCGATGCAATGGTGTAATTCGAGAAGCATCCGAGACTTATTAGAGATGGTGGAACAGCGCAATAACTGAGTTTGACGTGAATGCTGCAACGTTTAAAGCCGGCCGCGTACAGATTGCGCTATGCGTGTACATTGCTGTACCTTATTGCGATCAAACTGAAAACGAGAACACATTAGGCCATAGTATTACTGCATAAAGATAGAAGAACTACCGCTGGCAACTACAGCTGATGCTCTGAAAACTTCCAGGATTTTTCTCAGAATTTAGGGTAATTTGGATTTTTCTATCGACTACTGCGCACACTCGATATCTAACAGATAACGGGTGATAAATCTGAAAAGCGAAAATCGGCATGTGAGCGACAGCTAGGAGCAGCGTAAAGCACAACTCACCGGGCAGAAGTAGTTGATGGGGCAATAGTTTGTAGAAACCAGTTGACGTTTGAAGTGTGCTTCAGGGCTGGCACAACCCTGCCAAACTCACCCGGGTTTCACTGGCACCAGTACATTATCGGGCCCGAACAACAGGGTCGCTATGCAGAGGCCTAAACAACACAGTTCAGAGCGAAGCTCTCCCTACAGCAATTGCTGCGAAGGGTACACTCAACCGCGCAAATCACAACGGCGTTGTCTTCAGTGAAAACGCGCCAACGTATCCCACATAGCTTCTACTGAACTCGCCCCAGTCTCGCTATCGTATCTCCAAGCCACTCCAAAGTTAATAGTGTGCCTGGTGAGCTGCTTTCATGCAAATGCCTTAGCCACCGAGCAAACTCAACCACTGTGATATGCCCAATGTCTCAACAGCATCGAGCCCATCCTATTTCGGCTCGGAGATAGACCCCTAGCATGGCAACTCATGTGCGAAAAAACTTACGCCTTCTCTGATATTCTATACAATCATTACTTTGCCAGTGTTGGGAGGGGCAACACCCAAATATTTCCATTATAACCACTACTGTTTTACTGAACTATAAATGTGAAGGTGTAGACGGCACGGTTACTTTGGTTGGGTCAGTAAACGCTGTCTTACTGTTGGCCATTCTTCTTTATGCTTCACTCGGTACAGTCGTGCGGCATTTACGCCTTCCGTCTGCCTTATCAACTGCGAGTTCACGTCTGCTAACTAAGTCCACTGGCCGCTCCAATACGAATTGTGTAGGTTACTCTGCGCGTGGGAAACAACCAGTGAAAGAGTTCGTCCGTTCAGACTAAGAGAATCGAAACCGAACCAGGACGGTAGTAACAGAGTGATAACAATAATAAAGTCTAAGAAACAAAATCTTAACCCTTTCTGCCCGGGTGATTCAATTTGGAATCACTACTGCTCTTGGCTTTTTTCCCCGCCAACAATGTGACGAACGTTTCAAATCTTATCTTACGGCGTAGTTACGGGTCCTTGCCGATAGGTGGTGGTGGTTTGTCGGTTCAGTTCGAACTAGGGCACGAATGGAGATTTCTTTTGTTTGCTGACAAACCCAGTGCGTTGCGTCCATCCGACCACTTGGAATTGTCCAAAATTACTCCAGGTATGTATATTACCTAAACATTTGTCAAGGTCAGTTTTTTATTACCCAGATAACTGAAGAATAATATACGTCTATTACGAAATAGAATCTAAGCTAGCAACTTGAATACTTGTAAACCAAAATGTAGTGATTCCATTTGAAATCAACAGGTCATGTACATGTGAGTGGGTGGAGCTTTCTGTTTATAAGGGACTTCATGGATATTTAGCAATTGGTTAGTTTCTTTTGCTGATTTCTCTCACCTGTAAATTGTTTTTTTGAGGGTGAAATATATAGATTCTAAGTAGATATTGAATATGTGTTGTAAGATTTACTTATTTATTTAGTATTTTGCTGAGAAAAGCCTTAGGCAAGTTTTAGATATTTTACGAGCTATGGTCTGTCTTGATATGATATTCTTTTTACAGCTTTTTTCTTTTAGCATACGTCTAGGTGATTTGCTCTCGGGCAAGCTTTGATACTCCTAGAGGGAGATATGTCAGATGTTGACGAGGATGACTTTCATGATGTTTCAGATAGGCAAGTGGCACTGGGAGCAGCTGCTCGGAACAGAGTTTTAGAAGATGGGGATGTTGCAACTGAGACCATGGATGCATGCACCTATAGCATTCCTGTGGAAATTCACACAAGAATTGATGGTGCCATTGATAAAGAATAGCAAAATAATGAAGTTGACACACCATTCAATATGTGACTTGGAAGGCGAAATGAAGCCGAACCTACAGTATATGAGATAAGGAATAATTGCTGACGATACAAAATATGGAATCAGTACATGTGACGCATTGTTCCACATTTTCTGCTCCTCAAAATGAAGACATGAATCCATTGAATTATTTTGAAAAATGAATATATAGCACTATCCTTGAAAATTTGGTTGATCAAACAAACCTGTATTCTACACAAAAAACACCTAAGTCCATCAACATAACAATGATTGAAATGTGCAAATTTATGGGTATTTATATTGTATCTAGAGTTGTTTACGTGCCGAAATGCAGAATCTACTAGGCTGCTTCTACGCGCTACGGGTCCATGGCAAGTACCATGTCTCGTGATGGGTTCTGCAACCTGAGGAAATACTTGTATGTTAACCTGAATGATAAGGTGGTTCCAAGAGAACATAATGCGTATGATAAACTATTCAGAATCAGACATCTTGTGGAGTCTCTGAAAAATAGTTTCTGAAAATTCAAGCAGAAGGTATTTCAGTGGAGGAGATGATGATCGCACTCAAGTCCCACATTTCCATGCTACACTATGTAGAGAGCAAACCACACCCATAGGATATCAAGGGATTCACAGCTGCTGGAGTGAGTGGGATTATCTATGCCATATGTGAGAGTTACTCCTCTAGGCATAAGTGACCATATTGTCCTTAGGCTAGTTAAAGATTTGCCTAAAGACAAGAATCATAAGTTAGTGATTGACAACTGGTTCAGCTCATTTGATCTGGTTGTAGAACTAGAAATGTTGGGAATTCACTTGGTGGGGACTGTCAGAAAGAACAGGTTGGTAGGCTGTGTTTTGAACACAGATGCCTCACTGAAAAAGTGCGGCAGAGGCTCCTATGATTTTAGAGTGGAAAACAATGAAAATGTCATGATGGTGAAATGGCTTGACGATAAGGCGGTACCCGTGATCATCACTTATAAAAGTTACAAGCCCCTTAAAAATGTGAGGTGGTCTGTTGCTACTAAGTAGTATGTAAATATCCCTAGCCCATCTATTGTAAAGGAATACAACACATTCACGGGAGGCGGTGATCTGCACGACACTCTTGCTCAGCTGTATCGCACCAACATCAAGAGTCGTCCCTTCTACCTAAGAATAACATTTCATTTTATAAATATGACATGTGTGAATGCATGGATAGGAGACACAGTGATCAAAAGAAATAAAGGCATCACCCACTAATTTCCTTTTTGTGTGTGTGACACAGCTGCTGCCCAGTGGAAGGCATACCAAAGAAGCGGGTTAAAATAACACCTCGTCCTGTTGCTGCTGTACCGTATGATGGCGTGGGTCACTGGCCAGCACATTCACCTGACAAAGCAAGATGCAAAACGTGTATCCAAGGTTACAGTAGAATAAAGTGTGGAAAATGTAATGCTTCACTTTGTT